CATTGAGAAGATGGCACAAAAAAACGTTTAGAATATCAGTCTTGCTTATCGGAAGCTATTTTATAACTGACCTAATGTTCACTAGTATGCAGGCTATGTAAATACAAACTAAAAAATATACTAAAGTATTGGATAAATAAATTAATAATTGAAAAAATTTAGTAAAAAATTGTTCACGCCTAAAAATTCAAATATTCGATCAAAAAATATTTGATTACAATATCGTCGTTTGTGAAAAACCCTTTGACCGATAATAAATACATTCGTTAATGACTGATAAGTTTACTAAATATATCAATACTTTTATCTTATCTTGCACTACATTCGAATTGTTTCTTACGCCCGAATATTCTAAACTTTTTTTTTAATGAAATATTAAGTGCCGGCCAACCGCCTTACATTTTTGCAAGTAGTAAATTTGGAATCAATTCATTTCTACTATTGGATCAGTAAGCTATGTTACACACGGTGTCGTGTCTTTCTATTGTCTAAGTAGTAGGCTACACATGTATAAGGCTTAAGTCTATCATAAAAATAGGCCTATTAAATGTCAGAGCTTGTTTTTACATTGGAATATTGATATACAGGGTGTATCGAAAAACAGAAACGAAACATGGCCTAATCGGTACGTGTCGATTTGAAAGCGAAAAGTAAACTGCTCAAACTGTGAATATGGAACGTGGTAGTGCTTAGGAAGTTCTGGACAAAAGTCAGACGATGTAGAGATATTGATAAATATTATCAATGTCTCCAGCAAGATAGGACGACCCCCAAACACATTTTAGAAGAGGATAAAGTTTTCGCTTTATATTTATTTTTGTAAAAGTAATTAAGAAACTGATTGGTTCTGTTTTTCCAGGTCACCATGTATATATACCTATTATGTAGTTTTATTCCAGTGAGGTAGAGTGACCACACCAACGAATAAAAAAATTTGTCGAAGTTTATATATATTCGATTATGACTATTTGCATAACAACCAAAAAAGGATCTATTATAATGTTAAATGGTTAAAATGTATAGGCATTAGTTAAACTCACCAGTTAGACCCTCGGTAGCTGAAGGATTTCCCAGAAACTCGAAGCATCTCAAAAGAAAGCAGTTGTGGAGACAGCCCAAGTGTGCCCTCTTGCGCCTTGTTTTCTTATTGTTTCTATTCTTCTCATTATATGTTGTCCGTCTACCTTCCGGGGGATAGTCAACTGATGGAAGTCGGAGAATCTCAAGCCTTTCAGATATGTAAGAAAACGATGATATTCTACGGAGATTTTTCAATCTTGATGAGTGTCCACCAGAACTTGAGGAAAATCCAACACTTGAATCACTAGGATGATAAGTTGCGGCCATTTATATATATATTAGATTGGAACGATGTGCAGATTATGCGAATGTATTATAATGTAATAGGATAGTCTGAAATATGAAATATTACTCTTTTAGCATAAGCACAATGTATCGGGAATATCGTTATTCTGTTAACAATATAAATATTCACATATATATATATCACAATATAGATTTTGGTTCGCTTTAAATATACTTTCGAATAGAACCACATATTACTTATAGCGAAGCATAAGGTAAACGCGCTCAGCACTTATTATTTATTATCACGCAAAATGGTGCGTACCTGTGGAGATCTGCTTTGTCTAGTTTAAGACTGCGTGAATTCACTTATTTTGCTCGCTTCCATATCAGTATTTTACAAACGCAGATAATCCTAACAAACTTATTATTTGTTAGGGTCTGTTTTAGAAAATTGATGGTAATTATTTGACTAACACGTGGCTAAGAACTCGCTGAAAACGGAGGTGATATTGATGAATAAAACACTTTATTGTTGATATTTGATAAGCCGAATTGCCGCACCCGCCAAACCAGTTTGTGATTCAGAGCTACCTTGTCTTGCACACATTGTGTAACAATAAACAACGCATGATAGAATGTCTAACTAAATCTCTGATGATGTACTGCTACTAATGAAACTGAAACTAAATTCGGTAGAAGAACGAGATAACATGTAAAAAGATGAATATTTAATTGGATGTATATATTGCATTCTGCCTTCCCCTTATTATGCAAGGCAAACGAATCGCGATATATTATTTACAATTATCTTCCATAAGCCCTCTCAAGACATACTCAACACTTGACCCCGCTCACAGGAAAATCTGTCTACTATATCACCAAATCTACGGCCAGTTCTCAAATAAGGATGTGAACTGATCGGAGCAGACCCTTTTCATGCTCGACTTATTTATCCTATGTCTAGACTTTTGCTTTTCTTTGCGTGTTATTTCTAATATTTCCTGAGGTATGCTGCGTAATAATTATAATTTAATCAGCAACGCATTTGAACTCCCACGGGGACTCGTAAAGCGTCGTACTAACGCGCCTCCATTAATTAACTTCATCGACAGACAGATCGCAGAAGCGAAAGAACGAATTTTGCGTTAACCCTGTCAGAACCTACGGCCACGGGCGTATTTTTTTCAGTATTGTTATTTGAGAGTTTAACATCTTTATAAAGCCCTATCTTCTATTCACTATTTTTGTTCTGTCATTTCATCTTGTTTGGGATGAATATTTTCAAAAAACTGATTCAAACAATATACTTACATTTAGAACTCATCGAATGCTTTGACATTTACCATCCACCGTCCGAATTTATAAAACCACCTTGGATGTCAAATACATATATTTTCTTTTCAATTTAGGATTTTTTTTTTTACGGCATTCCAATCAAGATCTGTATAAACAGTTTCCAAATAATTTGAAATAGCGAAACAGAAATTATCTGATGCTAATTTTTTGAAATGTATATATATATATACTGCATGTTGACAAAAACATTATATTAACAAGCTCATGGTGTTAACAGATTATCATGTGTAACACAACATTGCCACAGGTGTGTGTGTACATAAATACATATGTATATACCATTTACCAATAAAATAGAGGACTACTTTAAATCGAAAAGCATATTTTTATATAGAGGAAATTCCAGCCTTTACATCCCGGACTAATATTGACCTGAATATGACTTTGCAAACTTCATAGCACATTAACAAAACAAGCAATGTTGAGACAGAATCAATTATTGGAAAATGCGTTCACTACGAAAATAATTTAGTTATTCAGTGTGAAACGTACATTTTCAATGGCTTTATTAACTTAGTTTTGTCGTTGAAATTCTCTATCTTGGACACCAATGCGTATCTGACTAGATATATCATAGTAAAGGCAAACAGGACACATGTTTTTTGGACACGAAATGTAGGCTATATTGATCGTTTGGTAATTATGTTATCCTTCATACATCATCTTTTTTCTTCCTGTTGTGAAAAATCGCTTTTCTCATCATAAACCGGAGCGATTGCTTTTTGAAATTTTTAGTGATGAAAGATTGTTATTGTCGTCTTTATTTGTTCCCAAAATTTCATATGACATCTGATATTTCATCTAGAATTACGATGTTTTATATGTATCTTGTAAACACGTTTTATTAAATCGTGACGGTCGTTCGTTCGCGATTTTATGATATCGTGACGGCTGTTACCGGTAGTCCTAACTGTGACCATAGAGCAGGGGTGGGCCAACCAGTCAGAGACCAAGAGCCGCATTGCGTACTTTATTACCGCGAATTTCATTACGTAAAAAAAAGAATGCACGATAAATCATAAATATGTTTAATCAAAACATAATGAATCGTAGGTTGCAAGTTTATTTTTTCCGTAAAATATCCATGGCGAAAAGAGCCGCATGCGGCTCGCGAGCCGCGGGTTTGCCACCCCTGCCACAGAGCTACATATTTCCCAGTTCAGTGACTGTGACCGATTTTATACTTTTAAAAAGGCGTCCTTATTTTGCTCCAAGCTGAAGTTACTGAACTAAATAGCATGTGGGGGTCAAAATATTTTTTTTGTGAAAAGCTGTTTCTAAGATCAGCATAAGTGAGCTCGAGAAATTAATGAATAATTAAATATCCAACGTTTAAAAAATGATGGAGCAGGCACCGCGAGTTGATATAATTTGACTGCGTATATCTAAAATTTGATTTCCTGCATCGACCAGTTAGCCTACATCGTTTGGTGTGAACGATATACTATTCTGTGTATAGTTGTATAACAGAATCTTTATGGCTATTGCAGACGTGATTATATTTGCACTACAAGACAAGATCTTGTTTGTTTTGTTTGTTTGGATTTCAACATCAATATTAAATCAATAGCAAGAATATCAATAACAAAAACTGATACCTGAGTAAACAACTACCAATATATTTCTACTTTCGTTATTTTCGGGTATTTTTAAGTATTCTTTATCGTTCCACACTTGTATTTATATTACTAAATGAAACTATGTAGGTATAGGATGTTTATATCGGTCTATTTTCCCAGGGCACATACCAGGCTACCACACGAATTCGTGACGAGAACCACCATACTAAATATATTGGTCGACTGGTCGCCTTAGAAAGCCGGTATAACTGAAATCCTCTCTTTCAGCATATTTTTAGTGGCGATGAACCCCATTTTAACTTTCTCTACTTTGAGCTATCCCAAATATTTTGCGTTAGTTTTGATGTTAAATGTGCAATATGTCATTGATGTCATTTTTGTATCAACTATCTGCTTGTGTGAGGTCGCTTGATGAGTGTTATTTTCCTGCCAATGTTGTTCGGTTTTATCATACATTTACTGATGCACTTCATTACTGAGTTTTTCTCAACTAAGGAGCCATCAGAGGGTAATAAGTAAACTTCTTGCTGTTTTATTGAATGATTTTCATCGCTTCGTGTACGATCGTTCCGCAGGTCACATTGAGAACCTTATTACTTGCGTCCTGGTGTCCGTAGTGACCACGTCAATTGCGCCTAAGAGTCTTATCATGTTCAATACTAAAAGTTCCAATTACGTTATCTGCTTTTATTTTTAAATGGCAATATAAATCAACATCATTTTATAAGAATAGAAAAATTCAATGGCATTTTTATTTCATTGAGGTTTTGTCATGAAGGGAGGCATAATATTATTCCAGAAATCAACTCTTTTTTCTGCCAGATTCTTTCCCGTAGAAAATGTGCTTGCCACAATCAGGTGTTCTCCTTTTGATTTATATCGCGGCCAAATTGTATCAACGTGATCTCCTTCGTTTGGATTTCTGAAAATGTTATTGGATATTTTGATGAATGAACTGATGAAGGGGCTGACTGATTTGACTGACCCGAAAAACTTGAAACATCACGATTATATAAAAACAGTTACTCAAACACGATTATATAAAATCAGTTATTGTTACTTTTCATTCGACTCTTACCCAGTTTTTGCAAAGTTTGTCAAATAAGTCATAAACTTTTTACTGATTTCAGCTTCCTCTTTCGTAAACTTGCCACCTCCTCGTAGTTTTATAGTTGAGAATGGTACTCCGAGAGTCATATGCATCTCATCCGTACGATCACAATTGCACCAAAATGGTTTCCTACCAACCTGTGGTCCATATTCATCATTTCGGAACATTTTTAATTGAAATGCTCCAAGATACATGTAGACTGGGGCACCGGCATCTAAATGTATAATCAATATAAATAAATATATCAGGTATATCAATATCATTAAATCCACGAAACAAGTTTAAACGCGATTTGATGCAGATGTTAAAAAACTTTTAGTTTCGTTATACTCACTGGCAAATACGGAAGCTGTGCGTACAGCTTTCGATACTATCATTGCATCACCAGAGATATTGCCAAGCAATATACTGAATCGTTGATCACCATCTTGATCTTTAATATAGAAGTCTTTGCATTTTTCAAAACCCGTATCTGATAGCTGCAAAAGTATATTTGTAATGAATTATGATAGAATGAGAGGGATTCAGATGTGACAAGCAAACAGTCTATAAAAGTCACCGGAAAAGTCACGGAGTTTTTGGCAAGTTGTTCACTAATTCCTTCTGCAAATCCTGGTATAAATGCCTGATGTAATATGCCATGTCCTTCTGAGTCATTACAGCCGATTATGTATGGTACTTTTGCAAAGTCTTTGTTTCTCAGCATTTGTTCGGGGGTTTCAGGCAAAACCTTTCCATCATTCGTCGGCTTGAATGACACGCCTTTCTGAAACAGTATACAGCATAAAAAATTATTGTTAACTCATCGTTATGTTTGATACGTCACAGCGTTCGTTTATTTAATATATTTAGTAGATATATATGAACTCACTCCATATCAGAAAAAATAATGCTATTAATTTCAAAACTGCATCTGTCATATTGGAGATTGAACTTAAATAGGCAGTGGAGAATCGGTGAATAATAAATATATACGTAATTTTTAAAATAAATTAGAAGATTATACACGCGAAAGCAACTATAGACGTAAACATTTTTATGAAAAATATTTGACTGTATCTTAATTAGCGATTAGCATTTCATCAAATTTATCGTTTATTATTTATTCTAATATAAGTCGCTTTGGCGCCTATTGACCGACCATTGGGCATGTATTTTCTAGTTGCTATTCAGTGAAAACTACAAAAATTATATAACAAAATAATATTACAAAAAAGGCTTATAAAATATGTAATACAAACCCGTGCTAACGCTAATGATGCAGTAACCAACTCTTCTGGTGGAATATTTTGAAGTTCTTCCAAAATCTTGTTTTGATCCGTTGCCTTGATTTTTAAATGCTCAAATAAAATTTTGTTTCCATTGGCAATAACCTTCTCTGGATTGAAAGATCCTGTAACGAATATAGGTATATGATTATGGATCAGGTACACTGCTTTATTTCTATTCTGAATTCAAATACAAGTACAAATTGTAAATCTGCTAGTTTTGCTTGAATTTTGTTATGAATCTAGATCATATAAACAGATTAAAGCACCTACATCCATATAATAGATTATATTCTTTGTTGTTGTGAGTCTGCCATTATCATTAACAAAAAAAATCAAAATCCCGAATATAATGTGCTACCAACGTAATTCAATTGATCCTAGCGTTAAAAATCATTTCAATTTGAAAATAAATGAAAATATTCTTAGTGCGGAGCTACCTCTAAAAATTACATTCATATTACATAACCTACAATCATATTTACCAGGCGATATTGCTTGTCCACTATGACTAATCGCCTTATGAAACAAGCCTCGAGACAAAGGTGACATCAAATGAAGGTTCACAGAAACGGCTCCCGAACTTTGCCCAAAAATTACAACGTTGTTTTCATCCCCACCGAACTTTTTGATATTATTTTTCACCCATCTAAAAAAAGAAGGTAAGAATAAAATCACGAGAGGAATGCTCAAATGTCTAGACACCGGGGTCGCACACCGGTTCCAGTAAGTACATCGCTTTGACTGGAAAGATGGGCGGACGAGAGTGACGAAAGAAAGTGTTCACTGTCGTCGTAAACGGTGTTTACATGAATCAGATTAAAACAGCTAACTTTTGGGAGAGGCATCTGGTTCTACAGAATTTTGAAGAAATTAAAAAAAAAATTAGAAAAGTAATAGCGTTTTAGAGACTTTTTCATCTTTGAATACTAATATTATGTATGTAAAAAATTGGTCCATTAGTTGTGGAAAAATCGTGTTCTCTCACCTTCAACAATCATTTGAACATATCAGCAAAATAGCAATTGATGACCCTTCCATTTTTTATACGTAATTCAGCTTTTTCGATGGTTGGGTGGTATTTCCATGAGTAGAGTATTTCACAAATTGTGAATAAGGATTAAATTTTTGTTTTGACCATATTTTTGCATCTGATTTTTAGCAGAAACGACACTTAATTCACTTAATTGAACGTCCAGCAATTACAAAATTGATCGTGAAACACTGTAGTTGTCCAAGTGATATGATTACTTGAAACGAAAATCAAATTGAATTCAAGTCAAATTTTTATTGTTTGTTATTATTTACTTGGGTACGAAAATATCAAGTTTTATCAATTGCCTATAATGTTACGGTAGTCATGGTACACTTTAATATTGAGGTTTTAATTTTTTTTTTTTTTTTGAGTTTGAGAGAAATTGCTTCAATTTTATTTGTAAATTTATATAAATAATATAAATATATAAACTTAACCTCACTGGTGGTTTATATAAATATATAAATTTAAGGTTGAAATGCGAGAGACTTACTTTAAAGCCAATTGTTGATCCATTATGCCTCCATTTCCGGATACTTTCGATGACGAACCGAGAGATAAAAACCCAAATATTCCAACTCTGTAATTAGGTACAACAACCACCACATCATTCATTCCCGCCAACACAGTTCCGTCAAAAAACTTCTCCCCTCCTACTACAAAACTTCCTCCATAAAAGAAAACCATAACCTGTACCAATGAGTAATAAAAGTGGAATAAGTCACAAAATATTCCACAAGCTTGCGAGAGCAACTTTTGAAGCGCAGTATATTTTTCAGTCAGAAGTTAGAATGAAGGTTTACAAATATTTAACAGAAAATCTGTAGTCTGTAGAAAGACTCATCTGAACTTTTTCATTAGTATTTATTTTTTTCAGTTTATTTTGTATTTTTGATGTGGGCTTCAAGGGTCTGGAGTACTACCGGAATTCAAGTGAATAATTACAAATAGGTGAGACAGTAGCTGTTGTGAAAACTTACAAACCAATGTTGGCATATATACCAATTTTCCCCCAAAAGCATATTTCAGCATATCGGAGTTTTGTGAAAAAATCAAGCATGCGATACTTTAACATTCTCTAGGGATATAGACTGAACTTGCATGCCACAATTGCATACATTTTGCTAAATTTTGAGACTGGCGGTGTTTCCAAAAGATGATTTGAGGGCGCATTCATTTGTTCTTATTTTACAGCTAATCCATTTATCAACTGTTCATTATGATTCGTTTCACATGATGATTGGTTTTGCAAAGAAACTTGCGAAGTTAAGAGTTTGTTGGCTTCTACTTACTGGAAGCTTTTTTGGTTTGTTGAGTCTGGGCGCAAAAACACTCAAATGCAAACAGTCTTCGTTACTGATATCATTAACATTGGGATTAATGAGAGGAAAATATTTTCCTAGAGGTTCATCGAGTATTCTTGGATACATTGGCAGATTACCCTGTATAGTACCATCTCGAACACCTTTCCATGATTCCGCTCTGGAAAAACATAAATATATATTCTTAGGTTTAAATTTCAAACTTTTTTAATGTCGGGGAGGTTAAACTATAAGTGCTCTTTCTTTTACGTAAAATGGCATCAACCGGTCTATTTTTCGTATAATAGTAAAGAGCAAGGAACGAAATAATAATAATAAAAAAAAAACTATATTCAAATTGTTCCGTTAGATCAACGGTGCACAACCTGCGGCCGTACGGCCCCATGCGGCCGTCGCGAAAAAAAAATGCGGCCGTCCACATACAAAATCCTATGAAAAAAAAATTCAAAATATAGGATTTGGCGGCTATGCTGGCGTATATTGAAGCTAAACAGAAGCACTGCAAAAAAGTCAGACGACACGATGCGACACAATCTAGATCAGGGGTGGGCAACTTCTCTAGTCGGCGGGCCAGATGTGGGAAAATGAAGTTCTCGGCGGGCCGGATCATAACATGAATAGTATTCAATATCTTAATCACATATTTAGTCGTTAATGCAAGAAAGAAAATTATAAATCGCGTTTAAAGTGAAGTTTAAACAACAAAAAAATAGAGATTTAAAAAACACATAATGAATTTATCATAATGTACTAAAAGTGTAATAATGTAGCCTAATATCACAATGTACTGATGTACAGTCAGCCTGCCGGTCAAAATCTCGTCGCGGGCCGGACCCGGCCCGCGGGCCGTATGCTGCCCACCCCTGATCTAGATGGTGTATTTGCTGCCAGTTACCTGACTTTGCAAGTTTATCTGCCCACATGCAAGACCAAAGGAGTCATTAAATTGCCACAATTCTTTGCAAACTTTTATAGAATAACTTCATAAAAATATTTGACATTTTATTATACTTTTGGGGACAAGAAAATGGGGGCGACCACCCCTCCCCGACTTTTCGATTTTTTTCAAAATTGTGCAACCATTATTCAACTTGCAGAATATATCTGCTCTAGAATGGATCCACCGAAAAAAAAATCCTTTTAAAATGCGAATATCATACTTCCAAGTAGTCCTACATACTTCATAATTAGGCAGAGTGCACCTCGCACGGGTCAAATACGCGGTTATGACGTCATAAAGCCAAAAAATTTCGCGCGCCTTCGCCGCGCTATTAATCTCCTGACGGCCGTTTTGTATAAAAAAAAAAGGAATGTGGCCGCCAGTATCAAAAAGGTTGTGCACCCCTGCGTTAGATTGTTCAATTTCGATTTTTGGAAGAGAAGTAATAGACCAAATCCTGTACACCTGCACAAATTCTTTATTACGTGTGGGGATAAGTATTGACGTGAATAACAAATGTAGTTTACTTACGGTTCTGGGGGTAAAAATCTCAGTTTTCCCACTGGTGGTTTAGCAAAAGGAATGTTTCGAAACACACACACGGAATTTGTATCTTCGACCTTCAACTTTACTACTTTTCCTTTGATTTTCCCGTTCACAGTAGAGACAATTACTGCGGAATTGTCCGTGGATTCGTAATAATACCAAGATGTTACAAGGATCAGTATTAGACTTGCCTTAGTAGCTACTAAAACAATTACTTTCGACATTCTGAAGATATTTTTTATATTATAAAATATTTGTACCTGCAAATGTCTAACAGTGTCTAAAGTATTTAAATGTTCAGTTTGAATTATATATGCACCCGAAACTCAATATATTTCGTATTTATTTTTTTATTTCATAGGTTTTAATCAGTTATGAATTTTGCTGACGAATAAATTTTTAGATTCTTGTATGCCGCTTACCATCTAATTTCTAGTGTTTGCTACAGTCGCTACAGTCGCGTATGAGTTTGGTATTTATGTTAAAAATAATATTCATATGATTCCAAATATATTTGTCATAAATTATTTCCGCGTCATCAAACAAAAAGAATGACTGGTATTTGGCACACAAAATACTTATTGATTTTTCACACAGACAATCAAACACGTAAATAACAAAAAACCCTCGAATTATTTTGAAATGCATTACCATCATACTATTATTCATATATTTCAAGTTTTACAAAGCTAATCTCTATTACTAAAAATTGATACTAAGTAAATTAATAATAGTAAATATACGAATAGTAAATAGCTCCGCGAGCTATTCGGTTACTTTTCAAAATACTGACTTGGCTAATTTTGTAACTGTTCAAAGAAGCAATAACAGCTTTGATAAAATTGGACAACAATATAGCCTCGAAATATGGCAAAAAGGCGGAATTAAAAAATGACATTATTTATAAAGTAGAGCAGCACAGCCAGGATTCTTAAGAGGAGGGTTCAAAATTGGAATTGGAAATTTCTACGCAACATTCTTCATTTAAATTGCATTTAAAGTGTCTTGTCGTAATAATTCTAATTGTGCTCATCGTCACTCACGTTTGATTCGAGATTACTATTAGGATTACTAAAATGAAAGAATACTATTCTAAAACAAGAGAGCTACGCACAAATATATGGACACGTTAGACCAGAGCGAATCAGTCTTTACGGTACCTTTGACGCTACCGGTACCCTCAAAAAATCTGAATTTCCAGTAGCAAGAATTTTGCCGAATCAAAACGTACAGCCAGTCATGACACTGACTAAAATCCGTGTTCCCATGGATAAAAAATAATACAGCAAAATTTTAGACGAAATATCAAATTTCATAGAATTCACGCAAAATTTGAAATAAATAAATGTAATAGCCTTCTAGCGAAGAAATTAATCTTAACCACTGAAAATTTCAAAGCAATTGGTCCAGTATTCGAAGAGAAAAGCGATTTTTAAAAACGTGTCAAAGAACAAGAACAACAACAAAACAACATAATATTGAACGATCGTTATGGCCACTAAACGTGTCCAATAACATAAAATACCCAAGGTCTGGGCAAAATATGAACGATTGTAATTTATTTTATTGCATGCGGCTAAAAGGTGCAACGCATGCACAATTGACTGTGTTTCGATTTCGCAGTTACTATGATGAATAACCAAAGTAAACATAAAACTAAATTTTGTGATTCACAATGTCTATAAAAGTCTGCTGAAACAACACTTATAGTGTTATCTCCCATTTAAGTTTCAGTTTTAATATTTTAGAATGCCGCTTTCCAATCAAGAAATTCGAGTTGCGGATTTACCTCTTTATTAATTATTATTTTTAGTATTCGTCGCCGATGACTATAATATGATAACATGTTTTTTTTACATTGAACTCATAATTCCCCACGAGAACAAAAAAGCAATTATCGTTGTCATTGTGGAACAATACACGTATATGTCAATGGAAATTTTTGATTTAGGAAGAATAAACATCGGCGTAAAGATGTTTAAGGTTTAAAACACGCCATACTGACGAAAACAATCGGCGATTGTAACAAAATGCAATCGCGCGCTTTTTAGCGCCTTTTAAGTCTTCCAAAAATGTCAAAAGGGAAAAGATTCGACCCCTAATTTATTAATATGTTTGTCAAGTGTCAAATTTATAGCTTTAGTATATATAATTTATCTTTGAAATTTAGATTCATTTATGACTTGTATTAACCCTATTAAAAAGGTGTTGCATTCAAATTAAGTAAAGTACTTTTAACTTACGCAGGAATATTAATTGGAAAGTAACAATTTTAACATTTATTTTGGGGCTCCGTGAATAATGGTCAACCTTTTCAAGGGCTCCGCAACATCAAAAGTTTGAGAACCCCTGAAGTAGAGCATATATTACATATAAAATTTGCGGCGGCACTCGTTGATTTATGATTTACAATTGCTTCTAAAAAGTTGTGTTTTATCTTTGTTGAAGTTTCGTTATTCATTATTACCTCTTTCTATCTCGATCTTTCTTTTTTGGTTAAATTTAATATTTTCATTTGTAAGGTTTTGCAAATTATTAATATTTTGATTAACAACTTGCATCAACAACAGTTTATCCTAGTGGGAAAGATATCGACAAGACGGCCTAAGCGGCGCCTTACGTAAAAGTTCTCAACTTCATATAGTCACTAATGTATGCCAGTCTATCAAATCATGAAAGACAGTTATTCTCAAAACCTTTAATTTAAATTGAATCGTATATTTTTTTTTAATTATAATCGGTCATTTTTATATTGACGTTGATATATTTTCGAAAACAACCGCGTATTTTAAATTGCTATACATACGCAACGAACAGATGAAGTTCCTCATGCAAAATATAAATTTTATTGACTGCAAATCAATAGCATTGAATAATTTGGTAATTTACCTCGACATCTTGTTAACTATTGTGATGACAGTAAACGTAACTGCCCGGTTTTTCCATTTACGTTCCCTTTTTCCTTTCCTGGAATACAGACGACTGCGAAATTTGGACTACAATCAAGTCGACTATCGTGATAGTTCCCAAATGGTGAAAAGTTTAATGATTTGCCCAATGGATCATTCTCACAAAACGTCATGTTGATTAATTTGAAAAATTGGTGAGCACAAAACAATCATCAATAAAAAATTTTAAAAATAAATGCCAAATTTTGATTGGCTATTCAAAGTTCAGCATGCCATATTATGTTGTTCGTATAAATGATTTATTTTTTGTGAAAGTATCATCAATATGTAATTATAATGAATTAAAGTGTTCGAATGGATCAATATAAAGCAAATTGAAAAATATTGAATATTTATTATTTTGCAAATAAAGAAACAACGTGACGACGTAAGCCTCTGCTGTTTTACTATAATTTTATGATATTATATTTTTAAATAATATTTTTTACGTCGAAGAGGTCCATATTGTTAGTAAAAAGTACCAATGGGATTTTGCAGGATTAAAATTAGGACATTCATCATTAGAACATTGGGTGGTGAAACTGAATAAATCAAAGAAAACGGAAAAAAAATTTCAACAAGTTTCACAGGACGAATGAGGAAAGTAATTCTTATTTTAATTTGTTTTGGACTCTATTTTCTACCATAATTTATACCCTTACTATTGTTTTTTTCATGTTTTTGGTTCATGTGCCCAAAGTTTAATATGAAAAATACTCGTTCAACGTATTACTTGTCCATAACATTAAGTTCTTAAGGTTGTCGATTGTTTTCGACTGTGAGAGCAACAATTAGCAATGCGAAAGGTATAGTGGTGGTGACATCTTGCGAGTGTTTCATATTATTTCAGTTCACGCTATCGCGATTTTGTTGTTCGGTATTCTTTAATATCACAGAAGACGTGTATTTATGCACACAGAAGAATATTTTTTTCGATTGGATATTTTTACACGTAATGTTTTGCTTTTTCCTTGTTTGCTTTAAATATGTAAAAAGGGTCGTGCATTGACAAGCGTCGTGCATTGACAAGCAGATGTAACATTTCCTATCGATGATGAATCTTTGCTGTACGTAAAATTTGCATTGACAAGACTAAATTGAATAAGGCATTTATATGGCGAACGCCATAAGAAAGAAGTTTGTGGCAGAACTACAGTATACACCATAACATTAAAAAAAATTAATTTCCCGTAGCAGGTTTTTTCAAACTGGTTTGGCGTAAAATCCAAGCAGATGACTCACAAATTTTTCCACTTGTAGAAAAAAAAAGACGTTTAAAGTAAAAAGCAGATATTAATGAACAAATATATATGAACAAAGGCCTAACAGTCTTTAAAATAAACTATGTATACTTTTACAAATTTACCCCGGTTGGCGGCATTTTTAAAGTATATCATAATTTCGAAGTGTTAGTTCAATACCATAAAGAAACAACGATTTTTTCACAACTACTCTGTTTCTAAAAACATCTGGCACTTTTTATCAGAAGATACATTTATTCTAATGTTTTTCCAAATAATTTAATGAATGGTTATGTTGGAATATGGCTTCATCCTATGTGATGATGATAAACAATATCAGCAAATGGAATGGCTAATATGATAATAAAAGAAAATTGGAAAGTATACACATACAACCATCCCAGAACAGAAATTTGGTGTAGTATCTTAGCAAAATTAAAGATTCGTATTTCCACTTTGTGCCCATTACAATAAAGTGAAATCGGAGTCGAATTTCTTCTTCACCGGTTTCCAGAGAGTCGTCTGCAAATGATTAGAATATTTTCTTGTTTTTCTTCTGTTGGCGAGATGAAGGTGACGTCTCAAACCCGGCCTAAGATTTTGTGGATTTGCAATAGTACACCAGAAACATTTGTGACACAATTGTAATGTATACACTGCATGCTGGTAAAGTTCTTGATGTGAACAGAGTGCTATTTGACTCACATTTATGTATCTGATGTTGCAGAAATTGGCGCCGGAGTGTTAGTGTTTTAATTATATTTTAATCACTTTTAAATAAACCTAGTGTAGACCTAGCGTAAATGTACGTAAAGAGTATAATTTCGCAGAATGGTGATCCCAAATCTCTATTCGCACTGGAATATGACTTAAAATTAATCAAAATTAATTATAGCGTTATAACTTATGCGTTTCATTATAAATCACTGTAAAAGCGAAGGTAAACTATTAAAAGTGGTTTGATCCCTATTTATTCTTAAATCAGTGAAGATGGCACTATAAATGATGAAAAGTTAAATGCTCTACATGTTTGCATATGGTGTATTAGGAACCGCAAATAAACAAACATATCGATCAAAACAGAAGTTGATGTTTAACTCGAAAAGTAGTTTTAGGATCATCAAAGACGTCATCAAAATGATAAAAAAGCAAAGGCCCAATGCCTATATGTGGTAGCTTAGAGACATCAAATAAATACGGCTTGACGGAATGTAATAATTTTACTTTATTTCAGGACACCGGACAATCACCATGTTGATTTGGATTGTAAACCATTCTGTATATAGTAGGCGTAATAGCTGTTTGTACGATATTTTTTCACCCGTAACGGCATTTATACAACAATACAACTTATACAATAATGTTTGGTTAGAATTTGAAATTTAACAACAATAGCAAAAACTGAGACCGAGGATTATTTATGTTGTTTATTACTTTTAATTATTATTGTATTTTAAACGAATAGCGAACTATATGTATTTATTGTTTTGAATCACATACATCTTTGCCATTAGTGGCGCTGTAGAGTTTCTTTATTGCTACTTATAAGTCAAGAGTATTTTGAGGCGGACTATCAGTAGCCACTTGCTAATTAGTAACAGTTTTAGCGGTCTTTGATAATTTTTGAACTCGAAATGGACCCATGGATCATTTTGTTATTATTATGTTCGTGTTGTTGGTATTTTTGCTATTTTCTTTTTCTTCTTGTTGTTATTGGACACGGATTGGACATATGGGTCGTTATGTTATTATGCTGTTGTTGGCATTCTTCCAAAAATTTGGAACTATTGGACCAATTGCTTTGAAATGATCAGTGAATAATAATTATTGTTGTCGCTAGATCTTTATTTATTCCTAAATTTTCTATTAATTCTTTGAGATCTGATATTTCACCTAAAATTTCCTTGCTTCATTTTTATTCATGGGAACACAGTATGTATTCCGCAAAGCCTGAAATGCAAAAATATTTACGACACGGCTACTAGAAACACTTGTGGTACAAAATTACTCTAGACGCACATGTACGGTAGCCGTTCCATATTTCCAGCTATTTGCTCGCTCAGGATATGTTTTTGGGAAATTGTGGGTTAAAAATTTTGTTTTGGCCTTGGTATCCATATATTTGAGATTTGTATCCAGAACAAATCTGGAACTGTGGAACAGTCACGGCAACTTGTAAACATTAGATCTGACTACACATTGAATGCGGATTGGTTGGTTTGATTTGTGGAGTTTACCTCGAGTTTTGCCCAGCAGGAGTTTGTCCCAAGCATGTGAACCCAAGTTGTCGCATGACAATAGCCACCAGCAGTACAGAAGAGTCAATTTAAAAAACTTATGAGCTTATAATTTTATTTTCCACGATTTCGATTGAAACTGTGGTTAAAATATTTCGTTTTAACTTTCGCGTCCATATATTTGATCATTGCTCTCTTGTTTACGTAATATTTGTATGGAAAAAAACCAAATTAAACTATGTATGTGACGGTCTCTATTTCCACAGAAGGCTACATACGTCGTTCCTAGCGGGTACGGGTAACCATTCATAATTAGAACCACTAGTTTGAAATGTTATGGTCGTCTGTGCGTATTGGATAGCAAGTATGACCAAAATCAGTCATCCGGTTATAATAATAGTGGCGACAAATCCATTTTTCTTATTTTACGAAGTGCCTAGTTCTGACGATCCTTTTAATTCGTCCCCAGGATTTTGCGTTTGTATGGCGAGAATGGCGTTTGTATGGATGATTGATTCCATTTTACGAATTATCTATATTTTTAGCTGAAGCATGAAGATGTTTTTATTAATCATTTGTTTTTGTAAGGTCGCTTGATGAGTGTTACTATTCTACCGACGTTTCTGTGGCTTCTGTATTTTCCCATATATATTTACTAATGCATAGGCTACTTTTGGTTCCTTTGCTCAAAGTTCCAAACTGACGTGTTGTCAGTCAGTAACGGGTGGATGTCTTATTGATTTGTTTATCAATTTTCTTTTATTTATATATTGCATAACATTATTCCAGAAATAAACTCTTTTTTCTGCCAGATTCTTTCCCGTAGAAAAAGTGCTTGCCACAATCAGATGTTCCCCTTTCGGTTTATATCGTGGCCAAATCATATCCATGTGCTTTCCTTTGTTTGGGTTTCTGAAAATAAGAAATAAAGTTTCGTAAAAAAAGGTTAAAAGGGGTAAATAACCCGAAGCTAAAGTATATGAACATGAAAGTTATGCCTATACTGAAAAGGATTTTACAAACCAGTTGCTATTATCTTTTAGATGTTTCCTATCCGGGGCTGAATTGACCATTACGTAAATAAGCACGTGCATAGTACCACAGCAATTGTCGTAAACGAGTTTCAAGGCGTTTTAGTAGTGTATGTACCAACCAATATGAAGGTAACTAATTTTATTCGCCTACTTAACATCAAGTTGAAAAAAGGGGCTGGAACCTAGGACAGGGGAAATATTCACTTGGTTACCACACACAATCCCCAAACTCGTAATAAAACTAAAATATTCTCAGTTCAACCGGAAAGCTCGAGGGAAATCGGAATAAAATTATGGCCTAACACTATAATCTGGTACATATACTACAGAAGAACCGTTTTTAATAGTGCCTCAATGTTAAGTGAAATGATTCGGGTTGGTCAAACGACTCAGACCTCAATATTGGCCCGGTTGAAATGAATTTTTCTGACGTTTCACCGTAAACCTCTATATAAATGTTTGTTGGCATGAGAACTATTTCTGAAAAGTATCATGATAATTATTCATAAATTGGCCCTCAATTAATAACGAATACTGGAACTTGATTGTTCAATTACAGATAATATGGAACACTAGTTTAATTACTTTTTACATATAAGGCATTAAAGTACTAAGTGCATAGGGCCTCTAAGAGGCATGAGTCGTCCCTGCTCTTACCCAGTTTTTGCAAAGTTTGTCAGATACGCCATGAACTTTTTACTGATTTCAGCCTCCTCTTTTGTATACTTGCCACCTCCTCGTAGTTGTATAGTTGAGAATGGTACTCCTAGAGTCATATGTAGGTCATCCGAATGATCACATTTACACCAAAATGGTTTCCTACCAACTTGTGGTCCATATTCTTCATTTCGAAACATTTTTAATTGGAACCCACCAAGATACATGTAGACTGGGGCACCTGCACCTAAACGTGGGATTCAATAAATAGGGTAATCGCACATCATTTTCAGAATACTGAATACTTATATCTATAAGTCAAACAATTTTATTACTCGATATCTCACGAAAGCGAGGTTGAAGCTGCTCCAAATATGTGCGTGTGCATTCATGATATCTCGGACCAGAAGCCTATTGGTTTTGGATGAATTATGTCGTATAATTAGCGAGTTATCAATTAATTAGTGATGGGGCACATGGTGTCGCTGTGGAGTAAGAGCGGGTGAATCGAAACCGCAGTTTCTATTTTGGGGGATCAATCGATAAGTCTTCGGTCTCCGACCGATATTCTCGTTTGTCTGTTAGACACCTTCGTATGTTACGCGATATCTCACGAAAGCGAAGTTGAATCTGCTCCAAATTTTGCATGGGCATTCATCATATCTCGGACCAAAAGACAATTGATCCTAGATGAATTATGTCGTATAATTAGCGAGTTAATAATTAATTAGTGATGCGACACGCGGTGTCGCTATTGAATTTGAGTGAAGGAATCGAAACGGCAGATCGATAAGTCGGTGGTCTCCGATCACTATCTAGTTTTCTAATTTCAAAAATCGAAATCTGAATTGAAAATCAATTCTCACCGCCGCAGCAATTCACTTCGGTATCGGTAAGACCCCGTATGTCGCGGCTCGGTACCGGTATGTTATTAGAGCCCCGAGTTTACTTTGTTAAAAAAATGACACAAAAAAGTAATGAAGCCAGTAGTCATGATTGATAGAATTAAAGATTTTTCCCAATATGTAAAACTAGATAGCGATGGGAGACCGCCGACTTATCGATCTGCGGTTTCGATTCCTTTGCTATGACTTGATAGCGACACCGCGTAGCCCTATACTAATTAATTAATACCTCGCTAATTATACGAATTAATTCATCCAAAATCAATCAATAGGCTTCTTTTCTCATTATGTAAAACTATGTAGCGATCGGAGACCGCCGACTTATCGATCTGCGGTTTCGATTCCTTCGCTCTGACTTAATAGCGACACCGCATATCCCATTACTATCTATTTAAATAATACCTCGCTAATTATACGAATTATTTCATCTTCACTAGACTTCTGGTCCGAGATATGATGAATGCACATGCGAAATTCGCTTTTGTGAGATACCGCGTAACATACGAAAGTGTCTAACAGACAAACAAACAGACAAATACCTATCAACATACTTACCGATCGAGATCCATAAGTAATGAAACAGCACACGGTTTGGTAAAATATCGGCCCCATAACACCCAAAGTGAATTTGAAAACAAAAACAGTAAAACTCAAGCGGCTTCGACTAGTTTGAAATCGATGGATCCATTAAATGCCGCCAGAATTGTTTTTTTCAACAACAAAAATCATCCCAAAAACAAGAAATTTAGCGGGACAATCTATAGGGTCCAATATATATTAGGGTTCTTGTCCAATAACTGGAATTATGAATTAAATTAATGAAACAGTAATTAATTTAATTTAATGCAGATATTATACTATTCTTAATAAACCTTGTACACTCACTGGCAACCTCGGAAGCGGTGCGGACAGCTTTTGATATGATTCCTGCATCACCGGTAATATTGCCAAGCAATATACTGAATCGTTCCTTGCCAATTTGATCTTTTATATAAAAGGTCTTGCAAATCTCAAAACCTGTCTCTGATAGCTGCAACAATATATGTGTAATGAATTATAAAGAAAAGAGAGATATTCTGATGTAATGAATGTATAATATTTAAAATCCATACCGGAAATTTCAACGCGTTCTTTGCAACTTGTTTACTAATTCCTTCTGCGTAACCTGGTATGAATGCCTGCTGTAAAAACCCATGTCCTTCGGAGTCGTTACAACCAATTATATACGGCACTTTGGTGAAGTCTCTGTTTTTCAACATCTGTTCGGGGGTTTTGGGAAATACAGTTCCATCAACTGTTGGCAAGAACGATACACCTTTCTAAACGAATGTATATATAAATTTATTGTTGGATTTAAGGCGCTATCTAACCTTGGAATGTGAGGACACCCGATGGCTGCTATTGATCGACCATTGGACAGAAGCAAATCGATTTCTGAATGGTATTCGAATTGACAAAATACGTATGTTGTAAATACTTAAATAACATGTGTTTCAGACCGGTGCTAGTGCTAATGAGGCGAAGACCAACTCTTCTGGTGGAACTTTTTGAAGCTCTTCCAAAATCTTGTTTTGATCCGTTTCCTTGATTTTTAAATATTCAAATAAAATTTTGTTTCCCTCGACATTTATCTTCTCTGGATTAAAAAATCCTAAAAAGTATATAAGATAATATATAAATCAATATGATGTCTTTAAGTTTTTTTTTTGAATTCATAAGAATTCAAAATTGTAATTCAGATATTTTTTCTTTAATTTTGCAATAAAAACGAAAATAATCAATCAATCAATTTAATACTGTTTTTTATTGCTTACCTATAACATAATGGCAATGCAATTTACTATAGACGCTCCAAAAGTGTGTGTAACAATAAGAAGGTAACTAATTTGTTCGCCTACTTTACATCAAGTTGTGTAAAGGGACTGAAACCTATGGGCAGGGGGTATATTCACTTGACTAACACAGGCAGTCCCCGATCTCGTGATAGAACTAAAATAAGGGAAATCGGAATAGAACTATGGCCTAACCCCAACCTGGTACACACTACGAGAGTACCTTACTATAAACGTAAAAAGAGAGGCCCGCTCTGATAAATACATTCGTATCACTTAATATACGGTTATATTTACCATTAAGGTTTTGTTTTTTATCAATTCTAAAAAACATCGTGTTTTGAAACAAGGGTTTGTTTTAAATCAAAATTTTTCTGTATTGTTTGTATTTTTTATTGAAATACCCCTTGCATCGCAGCGAAACTACGCCAAAACGTTGCATTCTGGCAGCTGCACACGCAGCCGGAATTATAATTTTGAAAATGTAAACAAAATTTTTTATTTTGACTTTCACCACTATTGCGTACACTTATCGCCACTTTATATCACCACGAAAGTCATAAGATTCTACCCGGAATGTTTAGCCGAGATATCAGAGAGACGTTTTGAGTAAATAAAATCATGAAAATTAGCTCACGACCCTCCTACAAAAGCAATTCGATGTGGTGCAGCCCTTCGGCAAAACGAGTTGTTGCGATAATGAAGAATATGTTTATATCGACGGTAATCTACTGATATGAAAGATGAGGCTCTCTAACCTAGCCTATGTTAATTGTAAGAGTCCTCTGATGCAAAGACGCCACAACTAATCTGTTATGACGCCATAATATGGATTTCGAAGTCATGTATTGACATGTTTCAAAAAATGAAGTCATTGTTCCGGTTAATTTATGCTTAGCATACTTTGTTTTTTAAGGTTAAAGAGAGTTTTTCAAGGTTATATAAACTCATTTATTTGATTGCATTTCAATTTTCGCAACGTGGTTTTATCACAGCAGGGTCGTTCACGTAATGGCTTATCGGTTGCGTCTTACTGCGCCAACCACTGAACTACAACTTGAGAAGGTGTGCATGAGCCTTTATCGATATTTGTGGCGTTTTGAAAGATTTATTGCAAATAAGAAGCGCTTGGCAAGTTTTTACATCCATTTTTCTTCAACCTATTTAATACAAAAAAAAATCAAATAGTACAGCCACTTTGAACAAAACAGGCAAAAAAAAACTTGATTTAAAACAATTGTTTCAAAACAATTCTTTTTGAACAAATCCCTATTTACCTGGCGATATTGCTTGTCCACTATGACTAATGGCCTTATGAAACAAGCCTCGAGATAAAGGTGACATCAAATGAAGGTTCACAGAAATTTGCTCCCGCACTTTGCCCAAAAATCACTACGTTGTGTTTATCTCCACCAAATCTTTCGATATTATTTCTCACCCATCTAAAAAAACATGTCGGTAAGTATTAACGCAAGAGAGTAATGATCAAATATGTGAACACCAAGGCGGCACTTGTATCAGGAAGACCTTCGCCTTCAGTGTACATGAACTACGAAACAAAACGTAAAATTTCACATAAAATAACACCTTAAATTTGGGGTAAAATATCGGGTTTCATAGGACTTGAACAATAATGAAAGTAATAGCGTCTAGCAACCCATTCGGCGGTGACGTACTGAATATGTGAAATAGAAAAGTAATTTACTATTTTTTCTCTCGCCTTAAACCCATATATAGTGATTCACGTATTTCATGACAATGTGACAAGAAATCACTAAATTTTTTTGTTGGCAAAACTTTATTTCATGGAGTACAAATTTCTTGCTTCTGATTTTACACGAATTAACAATAGGAAACGATACTCTAAGAGTGCGTGACTTTGTTATTTTCTACAACGTTCAACAATTGCAAAAATATTCGCAAAACACCGTTGTTGTCTTACTGCTATGAACACATAGAACGATGAAAATCGGATTTAATTTTATTATTTACCTCAGATACGTAAATAGCAAGCATTTCGGGTGAAAACATTTCTGTGTTTTAATGTCAGTCTTGTAAAATCTAAATGTTGGTGTAATGATTTGATTTTATATTTTAGGGTTTGATACAGCTTGATATAGCTATTGTTATTCCTATTTTCATTTTGAATTTTGTGCTTTCTGAGACTTCGAAGTCTGGAGACTTACTTTAACGCCAATTGCTGATCCAAAAAGCCTCCATTCCCGGGTACTTTCGATGACGAACCGAGAGATAAAAACCCAAATATTCCAACTCTGTAATTAGGTACAACAACCACCACATCATTCATTCCCGCCAACACAGTTCCGTCATAAAAGTTCTCCCCTCCTACTACAAATCCTCCTCCATAAAGAAACACCATGACCTGTATGTGTGATGTGACAAAAGTTATTTCAGAAGTTTACGGGAGCAAAGTTTTGAAACGCCATAATATATTGCCCGAGAAAACGTTAAAGCAATGGTTCCAGACAAAAAGGTTTCTGTAAATTTAGTAGAAAGTATTCTCAATATTCACATAAAAATGAGACAATAGCTGTCGAAAAGACATGCAGACCGTAGTTGTCTTTACAATATTTATTTTTAATACGTATTTCAGCATATCGGAGATTTATAAAAAGCATATCGTAGACAACTGAAATATAATGTCATTTTGTACATTTGTTGCTATATTTCCAGGCTGAAAGTCAATACTCCATTGCTCTCGAAATAAAAATGCTGTAGAGACAGTCAAGTTTATTGTGCTCGGATATTACAGCATATCAAGTTATTATATATTTAAAACAATTTCTACAATAATTTTTAGTTTCCATGCTAAATGTTGTTTCTTAATGAAGAATATCAGTCGTTCGAGAAAGTCCCGAAACCTTTAATGGTTGCTTACCGGAAGCTTTTTTGGTTCATCGACTCTGGGCGCGTAAACACTCAAATGCAAACAGTCTTCGCTGTGGATATCATTGGCATTTGGATTATGGAAAGGATCATATGTTCCTAGAGGTTCATCGAGTATTCTTGAATACATTGGCAGATTACCCTGTATAGTACCATCTCGAACACCTTTCCATGGTTCCGCTCTGAATATGTGAATAAATTTTAAATATAATTTATTTATTAGGAAAATTTAAATTACATGCTCGGTCTTAGGTAACCTGGCATCAACCGGTTCATATAAGCATATTGAAATGGTGTATGTACTCGTGGGCGAATGAAAAATATAAATATTGTTTCGATTTTCCTCATTATGAATAACTTATAAAATGTGAAGCCCTGGCCATGTGAACTAGTTTTCATCAAGACGACTTAAAATGTTATAAGAAGCATATTCTTGTTTATATCCACGCACACATATATTAGAACTGGTAATAAAATCTTTTACATCGTTTGAATTCAATTTTTGAAAAGAGATATTAGATCAACTACACAAAATTTTCACTACTTTACGTATTGCTACACATACTATGTAACGTTTACTTACGGACGTGGAGGTAAAAACCTCAGTTTTCCCACTGGTGGTTTAGCAAAAGGGATGTTTCGAAAAACGCATACGGGATTTGTATCCTCGACTTCCAACTTTACTACTTTTCCCTTAATTTTTCCGTTTACAGTAGACACGATTATTGTAGAACTGTCCGTAGGTTCATAAAAATACCAAGATGATACTAGGATCAGTATTATACCTGCCGGTGTTGCCACCAACGCATATACTTTTGACATTCTGAAGATATTATCTTATGTGCTTATTTCTGCTTTTTAAATATTCCAAAGTGAAAGAAATTTAATCATTACTTCAAGGTAAATATATAAACCAGAAACTGAAAATATTTTATATCCAATAAAATATATTATATACATTTACATTGCTTGACTTAGGTCTCCTTTTGTAGTTTTACTAGTTTATATTTGTAACGGAATGATGCTGACAACAAAACTTTACGTTCTAGTAGACAGTTTACAATCTAAAACAAGTGTTTTCTAAAACGTCTGTTATTTATATTCATATATTACTTTGGCGAAAAAAGTTCAAATTCATTTCCGCGTCATCGAACAAAAAAAAATGACTGACAGTTGGCTTGCAAAAAAATTGAATGATTTTGTACACGACAGACAAGCACGTGATATATTTTCGAATAATGCTTCAGTTATTCTAAAACGCATTTTTCACATATTTGAAGCTTCACAAAAGCTAATCTGTCAAACATTTGTAAATAAAAAATAATAATTTTAACTTTAGTAAGATAATGAAGCATATATTACTGTTAAATAAAATTTGAGACGACTGCCCTTGATTTATGATTTACTACTACTGCTTAAAAGTTCACCGGTATAATGTCTGTATAATAGAACCGATGAACCATTCAAAACAAGCTACTGCGACTGAAAAATCTATAGCATAACTTGGCAGTTTAACTATGAATTTTCTAGGTTAGGTTTGAACGTGGTAAATCTATATAGTGGTTTTTTCCTGTTGAACTTTAACGATAAAATTTCCGAAATCTAGCCAGTTGTGACATCTGGACTTCAATCACGTCTACTTTCGTGATAATTTCTACTTAGTGAAGGGTTCAATGATTGGTCATTGTCGCAAAAGTTCATGTTCACTGATTTGGTTTACTGCTGAGCACGAATAATTAACACGGAATTTATTTCACAAATTAATGCCAAAAAAACTATGTAATTCAATGGTTCAGCTGCACACCAACACAAATGTATTTGTATTTCTGTAACATTTCGTCTGACCAAAATCAGAATTCGCCAGGCAGGCAATTTGCAACAATGACAAGAAAGGAACAATCATTCGCTGCGGATCACACACAACAATAAATAATTTTGTTATACCCACCATAACAACAAAACTATCAATCTTTAACAAACTGTTATTCTCTTCAACTACTGGACCAATTGCTTTGAAATTTCCAGTGGTTGAAGAGTATTCTTGCTGCTTGACCTTTATTTATTCCTGAATTTTTTATGAATCCTTCAAGATCTGATATTCCACCCAAAATTTCGCTGTTGCATTTTCATTCATAAAAACACGTTTTCGACAATCGTGAAATGCAAAAATAGAAATTGTAATAAGAATATCATACACCATTTTATCTTTTATATATAAACAAAATTACAATGGCATTTCATTGAGATCTTGTCATTCCAGATATCAACTCTTTTTTTTGCCAGATTCTATCTTGTAGAAAATGTGCTTGCCACAATCAGATTTTCTCATTTTGGTTTATATCGCGCCCAAATCATTTCCACGTGTTTTCTTTTGTTTGGGTTTCTGAAAATGAGAAATAGGGTTTCGTAAAATAAAGGATGAAATATTTGAATCATGAGCATATGAACGTATAAGTTCTGCCTATACTAAAAACGATTATACAAATCAGATTTAATTACCCTTTGGTTGAGAATTCACCCAATGCTGAATTTATCATCAAGCAAAATAAGCACGAGCTTGGGGTACCATGGGGAGGGACACCACAGCAATTGTCACAGACAAGTTTTCAATAATGCTTCAGTGTTTAATGAAATGATTCGAGTTGGTCAGACTCGGACCTCAATATTGGCCTAGTTGAAATGAATTTTGCGTATTTTTTGTAGTAAAATATCACAGTAAACCTCTGTATAAATGTTTGTCATAAAAATGGCATGGGAACTATTTTTAAAAAAATATCATGTAAATTAATTATAACTTGGCCCCCAATTAGTTACAAATACTGGAACTTAATTATTCAAATTTAGACAACATGGCACACTAGTTTTTTTACATATAAGGCATTAAAGTTATTTAAGTGCATAAGGGCCTCTAAGAGTTATAAGTCGGCCATGCTCTTACCCAGTTTTTGCAAAATTTGTCAGATACGACATGAACTGATTTCAGTCTCCTCTTTAGTATACTTGCCACCTCCTCGTAATTCTATAGTTGAGAATGGTACTCCTAGAGTCATATGCATCTCATCCGAATGATTCCCAGTTACACCAAAATGGTTTCCTACCAACTTGTGGTCCATATTCTTCATTTCGAAACATTTTTAATTGGAACCCACCAAGATACAAGTAGACTGGGGCACCTGTACCTAAACGCGGGATGTAATAAATATGGTAATCGGCTAATCGCACATCCTTTTCAGAATGCTGAATACTTTTATCAATAAGTCAAACTAGATTTTTTTTATCAGTATACTTTAAATCAAGAGAGCAATGCTGAAATATATGTATCAAAGGCCAAAACGAATCAATACGGCCACGGGTATGCAATAGGTCACAGAACATCACCGGTAGCCTACCACAATCCTCACAACTAACTCGAACCCGGAATCGCCGCAAGGTGCGCAATTTTTCATGACGTCTTTGCACACGCAAAAAAATCTCATAGAGCCCAAAGACATTTTTTAAATAAATAAAATGACAATCCTAAACCACTAAAACTTTCAAAGCAATTATTCCAGTATTTAAATGAAAAAGCAATTTATTCATAACGATGGGAAAAAAATAACCAACAAAAATAAGAACAACAACAACATAATAACAAAACGATTTATATGTCGGCTACACTCCGTCTCAAACAAGAGAACAATGATAAAATATATGGATACTTACTTCCAAATACTAATCGCGGTACCAGTAGACTATATTACTTATTATTGAAAGACGGTATTTTCTAATTTAAAAGATAAAATTCTGAATTGCGAATCAATTCTCACTGCCGTAATAATTCACGTCGGTATCGGTGAAATCCCGACTGTCGCGCATCGGTATTGGTATGTCACCGAGTTTGCTGTTACAAAATACGACCCAAAAACGTAATGGGGTCGGTCATGATTGATAATATAAAAAAATGTTCTCATGATGTAAAATAAAACAGAACACGATTTAGTGAAATATCGGCACCCTAACACCCAATGTGCATTTGAATAAAAAAAAGTATACCTCGAACGGTATTGACTAGTTTGGAAACCAATTATTCTCAACAATAACAATCATCACAACAACAAGATTTTAGCAAAACGATCCATAGGTTCTTCTTCTTGTCTAATAACTGAAAATATTAATTGAAACAGTGATTAACTTTGCTTAAAACATGATTTTTTTTTCTTCCTCACGGATTAGAGTTTAACCGGCCTCGGATCAGTGTCCTAAAGACACGCCATATTGCTGTTACGCTCCATAAGCATGCCACTGCGTAAGCAGCAGTCATCAAAGGAGGCTTCGGTATTAGCTGCGCCGTAGCACGACACAGACTTCCACCCCGGGATTCGGTGTCGTAGCACGACGCCTATGCCATGTAGTGGAGAGCACAACTGTGTGAACCTGTAACACGCACACAGCATGACATTTACCTTCAAGCTTCCTATTCATCATTTCGTGGAATCGTTTGATGGTTTTACTCAGGAGTATGCTACCATTTATGGTTTTTTATTCCAGAGAACTTACAGTTTAGTAGTTTTTGATTTCCATGTATGTCCCGGAGTATCGATCTTTTGCGGTCTTTGTTGCCGAAAATGTATCCGTCCGTCACTATTCTGTATGTACAGATTCTTTCCTTGTTTGTTAGTTTGTTCTTCAAGGGTTTTTGCGTAACATGGAGAGATGAGAGAGATGTTGTTATCTCATCTCAAACCATGTGGTGGCTTGATTTCCAGTTGCGTTTTGGATAGCATCCATTGTTATTTGTTTGGTGCGCATTTTCATTTTATTGTAAAAGTACTTTGATGGCTTTTCCCCTTCTTCTTGATCTTCAATTCCCGCCAAGATTGCTTTGTATTTAGTTTTGTTTTCCAAAAGTATCTTGAGCTCTGCTCGGAGTTTCTCGAGTTTTCTGAAGTCGGTGTTTTTGCCCTTGGTTAATATATAATCTATGTTTTGTCTCATCGTTTTTTCGGTTCTATTGTTCTGCTTTGTTCTTTTTATTGAGTAAGCTATGGTTTGTTTTTCTTGTACTCAATTTGAAACTATCCCACTAATCCTGAATCGTTTCGTACCTTCCCACCTGTTGTATGTGTTTTTAATTATTTCCGAAAACTCTTGTTCTCTATTAAACGAGGTGTTGTTGCGCCACATTCCCTTGCCCCACCTTAATTTCTATAATGTCCTAAGCCTAATAAGTGGGCAGAGAGCATGATCTGCCACTGTGTTGATAGTGTGCCCTACATGCGTAAGGAGGATCTATTTCTCGCCAGTTTTAAATTCTGTCTATCCGTCAGGTTTGTCGTTTTGGATTTGATATATTAGTATAAATTTGTTTGTTTTGGTGGCGCTGGCGAAAGGAATCGAATATTTTATATTTAGTTATGTAGGCATTAAAAATGTTCTCAGCAGTCGTGTGCCATCTAGCGTTCGAATTCAGGGCGTCTCGGCTATCTAGAATCATATTGAAATCCCCTACGACCAGAAGAGGGTTCAGGTAATAGATACCTTCTAGAATCTGGACTAAAGCTTTGTAGAATTCTGTTTTGGAGACGCCGCTTTGGGCTGGGGCATAGACATTTACAATTTTCCTATCCATTCCGTCGATTTCTATTGCGATACTGCAAGATCTATAATAAATGCGAATGGAATATTTTGCGTCTTTATCCAAGGTGTTCCTGATCATTATAGCGGTTCCTTTCCTAAAAGACTTTTGCTTGGGGTCTTGCGCAGTGAGTGTGTTGAGATAAATGCAATTTCCAAGTTTCTCAGCCCACTCTTCAGCTACACTATATTTAATTTTGTTCACTTCT